TTATATATATATATATATATGTGTGTGTGTGTGTGTGTGTGTGTGTGTGTGTATATATATATATATATATATATATATATATATATAGAATATATAAAATGGATTTGTTTTAATTGGAGGAACAAGTAATAAGGATGGTTTTGCCTATGCCTATAAATCTTTTTTGCATTTCTAGGACTAATGGCAGAAGAATAAACAAAGATGGCAGCTATGGTGCCACCAGTGAAGCTGAAATGGCTTGAACATCTAAACAGTTCCTGGATCACAGAAGACAGTGAATCTATTGCCACTAGGGAGGGAGTTTCTGTCCTGTATTCTAAATTAGTCAGCAATAAGGAAGTAGTGCCCTTGCCCCAACAGGTTCTGTGCCTCAAAGGACCTCAGTTACCAGATTTTGAACGTGAATCCTTATCCAGTGATGAACAGGACCACTACTTGGATGCCCTACTTAGCAGCCAGCTGGCACTGGCTAAGATGGTGTGTTCAGATTCTCCATTTGCTGGAGCACTTCGAAAACGTCTGCTTGTGTTGCAGCGTGTCTTTTATGCACTTTCTAATAAATATCATCGATAAAGGCAAGGTGAAACAGCAACAGCATTCTCCAGAAAGCAGTTCTGGATCAACAGATGTCCATTCTATCAGTGAGCGTCCCAGGTCAAGTACAGATGCTCTAATAGAAATGGGAGTCCGGACTGGACTAAGCTTGCTATTTGCACTACTAAGACAAAGTTGGATGATGCCTGCTTCAGGACCTGGCCTAAGTCTTTGCAATGATGTCATTCATACTGCAATAGAAGTTGTGAGCTCTTTGCCACCCTTATCTCTAGCAAATGAAAGTAAGATTCCACCAATGGGACTTGACTGTTTATCACAAGTAACGACATTTCTTAAAGGAGTAACTATTCCTAACTCTGGGGCAGATACTTTAGGTCGTAGGCTAGCATCTGAGTTGCTTCTTGGTTTAGCTGCCCAGCGTGGTTCTCTGAGATACCTTCTTGAATGGATAGAGATGGCTCTAGGAGCATCAGCAGTAGTAAATGCAATGGAGAAAAACAAAATGCTGCCAAGTCAAGAAGGGATGATCAGTTTTGACTGCTTTATGAATATATTAACACAGATGCGGAGATCTTTGGTATGTATCTAAGACTTCTGTTTGGAACTTGAGTTTTATTTTGGTTAAACCTTTCATTGTCATTAACAACTTTAAATAAATTCTTACTAATTTGCATCTAAACATATCACCTCAAAAACTGAATGGAATATGTATCCATTTTTAGTAGCAGTATAATTGCTTTGAAGAGGTTAGAAATTGGATAGAGTATATTCATTAACATATTGTTTGAATGTCTTGTTGCCTGCCACCCTCAGCCCCCTAAAAAAGCCAACCAAACAAAAATACCTGACACTTCTGGTGTGATAGTATAGAGTATCAAGAACGTACTGTAATTATCCACTTACAAATGCATTTTATTCCAAAATAAATATAGTAAAAAGTACAAAACTGGGTTTTAAAGTTTGCTTTCTGTTGGACTCACTTAGTGTTCAAAGTTGTGTAATATGCTTGTTCACTGTTGAAATTTGTGTAGCATGTGACATCCCCACCCTCCTAATTAACCCAGACCTCTGCTGCTTGTACCTTTGGGAGAAACAGCAAAATTTGCAAGCTGTTGTGTAAATTCTGAACAAGAGTGAAATTGATGGGATTCTTGTAAATTTCATTGTGCTGTTGGCACTTCCAGAGCGAGGTTCCTTTCCCCACTGGAATATTCTTTAAAGTCTTGAAATCCCAGGGGATTGTGCAATCAAAAACCTATCAGGCCTAAGCTTAATATGCAGAAACTCAAACGGGGGCAGATTTTTCTCCTAAACTGAAAAACAAAAACCTCTGCCCTGCCCATTTGGTAAGAAACCTAAATTATTAAACCTATTTTGAAAGAGATTAAAGGAATAGGAGAATTTTGTTCTTTTTTTTGTGTGTGGGGGGGAGGCGGGGACACAGCATTAAACCAATAAGTGTACTGCAGAAAATCACTATTGTATATGCACAGTACAGACGCCCTCCCAACTTACGCAATCGTTCCGTTCCGGAAAGCCTTGCATAACTCGAATTTTATGTAAGTCGGAAACGTATACCCGTATGTTACGCAAAAATTTCCGCAACTCGAAAATCCTATTTCTGGCTTATGGAACTTTTTCCGTAAGTGCGAATTTACGTAAATCGGGTCTTGCATAACCCGGGGAGCGTCTGTAATACAATTGGCCGTATGGGTATTTTACAGTTTGTGTCAGCTCTATGTTGAAAGGAGATGAGCTGACCCAAGGATTTATTAGGGACTAGTGCTTTATTTAGGAGGACTTGAATCAGATTCTGAATCAAACCAGACGCTTTACAATGCTTTATTATAGTGCTTGTCTTTCAGACCTTAGTTATGTGCGACAAATGCACCAGTGAAAGACCAGTGTTTGCATAGAAAACCTCTGCTTATATAGAATTGAAGCTGTCTAATGTGTCTAACTTGTTTTTATGATTTAAATATAAAAACATAATTGAAACCATTGGAGGATTTGCATCATACAAAAATAATAGTGTGAGTGATCTGTGGTTTAAGAGAAAAAGCATTCACCTTAAAAATGCACACAAACCACTACTTTAAAACAATATTAAGGAAATCAAAACTCAAATTTAAGAATTAATCCACCAGGATTTTTGGAGTGGTTAATTAAAAATTAAAAGTCTTATGAATATATTATATTTCCCATGTTATTGTTTAGTTATTCAAAATTAAAAATTCTTTTGGTTATAGACTGATTTCCAAAAACAAATTTGTTTTCACTGCACAACTAGAAGAATAAATGCATCAAGAATAGGTTGTATAATGTGCCGTTGCTGTGTGTACTTATCTCTTTCTGACAACATCACCAATGTTTTTTAAATTGTAGGGATCATCTGCTGATCGAAGTCAGTGGAGGGAACCAACTAGAACACCTGATGGTTTATGCTCTCTCTATGAGGCAGCTTTGTGTTTGTTTGAGGAGGTAAGTCTTTTAACGATCCTTGAGATTAGAGTGAAACAGTGCAAAATACAATTCACTCATTTGTTTAGCTCAAATTTTTTTTAAAGTGAAATTATTAACTTTGTGGTCCTTCTAAGGATATCCAAGTGTTTTACAAACATTTTATGAATTAAGCTTCACACTTATCCTGTGAAATGGGAGGGAGGGGAAACCCCCATTTTACAGAAGGAAGACTGAAGCTAAAATACTTGGCCAAGATCATAATGCAACAAGTCTGTTGGATGGCTGGGCATACAACCCATATATCTCTTAAAAAGAACAGGAGTACTTGTGGCACCTTAGAGACTAACACATTTATTTGAGCATAAGCTTTCGTGGGCTAGCTTATGCTCAAATAAATTTGTTAGTCTCTAAGGTGCCACAACTCCTGTTCTTTTTGCGGATACAGACTAACACGGCTGCTACTCTGAAACCAGTCATATATCTCTTGACACCCAGGCCTGCATTTTAACCACCAGATGATTGCTAAAAGTCAGTATTGTGCTTTAGGTAGAAAATTGAATTAATCAGAATGACGGGAATGTAAGAATACACATGTTGGTTGGCCAATAGGAAAATGCATTGAAAGTTAACTAAAATTCTTGTTTAGTTACCGTGTTAGTGTTTGTTTTTTATTTTATTGCAATAGGTTTGTCGAATGGCATCAGACTATTCTAGAACATGTGCCAGCCCTGACAGTATACAAACTGGTGATGCTCCCATTGTTTCTGAGACTTGTGAAGTATATGTTTGGGGTAGTAACAGCAGCCACCAGCTGGTAGAAGGAACACAAGAGAAAATACTTCAGCCCAAACTAGCACCAAGTTTTTCTGATGCACAAACTGTGAGTGATTTTTGTAGAGGTATCTAATATACTGTAGTAGTAAACTAAGAAGATGCATATCATGTTTGAAGTTTTTCCAGTTTTTATACTTTAATATATAAGATCTAAAGAGTTTTTGTGATTAGTTTTGACTGTCAGGTCCTAATATTTGAAAAGAGAAAAACATCTGGAAATATATCCTTATTCTTTTTGGGTCTGTGAAGAAACATGATTGTTCTCTACAGTAACACTTATACATGAATCTACTTTTCCCTAAATGACTGTGAACAGATGTATAAGTAAATCCTCTAGTTCATTATAAAAGCTGTTTGAAAAGATGATTATTTTTTGTGCTTCACTCTTTACCAAAAAAAAAAAAAGCCCCTAAAGACCAAAAGATGTTCTAGCTGTTAATATTTATTTTCCATCAATTACTTTCACACCAATTTTGCTTAGTTTAAAAGTCAAAGCAGGACCTGTCCAACTGCTAGCACAGCAAGCTTGACTAGCTTTTTGAAAATCAGTCTACAGTATGTTCTTTCTGTTTTCAGTCATGGATTCTGCTGGCACAACTTAGTTAGCACTTTTGTTGCTACATGACACAAAATAGAAAAGTTTGTTCTTTTGCTGCTATGTTAGCTTTGCAGTGTTCATGTAGGTAAAAGCTTGTTTTGGTCACAAGATAAAGATGTGATTATGGTCCAGATTCTGCAGTTAATTCTGTTGAAGTCAATGGGAATTTTTATATGCCAAAGGACAGTAGGTTCAAGGCTCTAATAGGGCAAGCTTATGCATCGGGGGAGGGATAGCTCAGTGGTTTGAGCATTGGCCTGCTAAACCTAGGGTTATGAGTTCAATCCTTGAGGGGGCCATTTAGGGAACTGGAATAAAAATCTGTCTGGGGATTGGTCCTGCTTTGAGCAGAGGGTTGGACTAGATGACCTCCTGAGGTCCCTTCCAACCCTAATATTCTATGATTCTGTGATTAGCATAACTACATTTCTAGCAAATATAATATACATAAGCATAATGTACATTCTGTGTGTATTTTGGGTGCTGCATGGTTTGTGTGGAGAAATTCCTTCTTGTGCTCTCCAAGTAATCTTCTTGTGCCCAGGAATACATATTTCTTAAATACATATTTCTTCTGTGTTTTGTGTATTGTTAATAGAACTACACATTTTAATGTTCAGTGAATTCATAATAGTGTATAGAAAGGACAATTTATCATCAGTTACAGTGAAGCATAACCTACTGTAAGTCAGTTCCATTAAGCTGGTTCTTTGTTTTTTTTAACCCTGGAAGCAGGGTTGGGATGGCCGAGATGGCAAAGAAACCCCATTTGAAAGAAATCTCATGTCCATTCATGAATCTGACAGAGCTAAAGGAGGCCCAAATCACCCTCGCAAAATTTATGCAAGAGAAAGTCCCTAGTACCTACATGATATTTTATTATTCCTGCTTGATTTAGTTATGTGTCTTTAAGGTGAGAATTACAACTTAAACTATGTGAGTGAAGAGGTGCAAATTACTAGGTAAAATAGCTTTATTGGGGTGTATTTATATTATCCATGTAGTAAGAATATAGCTTTATTTTGGAATTTAAGAATGCTTCTAATTAAAGATTTACATAAGATAAACTTAATCTGCATTCCCATAGCTTGTTCAAGTCCAGACGCCCCTTAATTTTTAGTTTGCATTATTACAAAAGGGATCCATGAAGGAATACAGCATTCTGTTAAAAGTACAAACTTTAAGCTTTGCACGGTTTATTTATCTAATGTATTTCCTTTTGTAACATTTTTATCTTTTTTGCTTATAGATTGAAGCCGGACAATATTGTACTTTTGTCATTTCCACGGATGGTTCTGTCAGAGCCTGTGGTAAAGGCAGCTATGGGAGGCTAGGACTTGGTGATTCCAATAACCAGTCCACACTGAAAAAATTGACTTTTGAGCCTCACAGGTCTATTAAAAAAGTATCATCTTCTAAAGGATCTGATGGTCACACTTTAGCATTTACCACAGAGGGGGAAGTCTTCAGCTGGGGTGATGGTGACTATGGAAAACTGGGACATGGAAATAGCTCAACACAGAAATATCCCAAACTTATTCAGGGTCCTTTACAAGGAAAGGTATGTTTTATGTAATGGAACGTCTTTTTGTTTTCATGCCTTTTTAATTCAATGCTGTTACTTCCATAAGGCTTCAAATATTTCAATTTGTATTTAAAATTACTCTTTTGGGGAAGCTGGAAGGGTGGAAGTTCCCTGTTTCAGCTAAGCACTTAAACATGCATTCAACTTTAGTCATGTGAGTAGTTCCTTTGGTGGTTAGTGGGTTTAACTCATGTGCTTAAGTGCTTTGCTGAACTGGTACCTAATTTCAAAAGATTACTGATCTTTTTAGTTACATGTAATAATTTTAACATAGAATCCTTAACACTCTCGGTGCTTTTCCTTTTCAGAGTTCATTAGTTAATCCTCATAACTCCTAGGTGCAGTAGATTAATACTGTATTATTCCCATTTTTTCTAATGAAGAAACAGAGAGAGAGAGGCTGAATGATTTGTCAAGGCCACAGAGGAAGTCAGTTGTAGAGCCAGAAGTAGCACATGGGAGTTTCTTGCTCTCAGTTCTCTCTCAATATTAAATGGCAATATGTACAACTTTAAGTGATTTTTTTTTTAAGTGACTCTCTTGAGATGATTAAGATGAGCCACTCTTACAACTGCCGTACAAGTGGGGGGCAGTGGGGTGGAAAGGCTTTTAGGCTCCGTGCACCCTATTTGCCATCAAATTTATCTCTTGTACGGAATGCCCTCATTGGACAGTTCCCAGACCCTGAAACAGAGTGGTCCATCCAGAAGAAGGTGGTGCAATGGTGGAAGTGAGCCTTTTCATGCTTTGCTCCATGATAGCTTTTGGTTTGCACCTGTAGGGAATAGGGCAGTTAACAGCTCGCTGTGGATTTTCCTCCCTTCTTCTATTTACTGCTGCCAGACTAGGTTGCTTTGCAGGCATTATCGAGTTTAAATAACTCTTGTTTAAGCTTGCTGGATAAATAAAAGTTGTGGCCATATGGTCAAATTTCAGATTTCTGTCTTTCTTTGTTGCCCCCCTGCCATTTGCAAATGCTTGTTAAATACTAAAAGACCGTTTGTAACAATAATTTAATGAACACGCTATATTTTATGAGGGCAAACAAATGGATTTATAGTACAGTAGTCCAATGTTCTTATTGAAGGCAAACTTTCATAACCCTGTTCTTTGGTGATTCAAAATTCTGTATGATTCTACTACTTGCAACAGCTTCAGTTTTAGAAACTTTTTTCTTTGCATGTAATGCAGATAGTTGTATGTGTGTCAGCTGGATACAGACACAGTGCTGCTGTTACAGAAGATGGAGAGTTGTATACTTGGGGTGAAGGAGACTTTGGAAGACTAGGTAATTTAAAAATTCCTTGTATGAAATTGACATGACCTATTGCTTTTGAAAAGGGCATATGTTCAGTAATGACCCTACACATTTATTCAGATTTTTTCCTTGTATATTAGGGTTTCTGAAGTTTTCATATTTACTTTGCAAAATTAACTATTTCATGTCTGATTGTTTTCAAATAAAATGCTTCTCCCAATACTCCAAACTGTCCCCTATGCATTCCTTGCTGACAAAACCCCCATACTTCAAATACTCTAGCTTCCTCAACAACTTCTGTAATAATAATAAAAAAAAGTTTGTAGAACATTGAAATTTAAAATTAAAATGTAGGTCAAGTTTGTCATGAAGTACTTTGGCTTCTTAAGTGGTAGGATTACATACAGAAAGGACCAACTGGAAGTTAGAAATGTTGGGGCCAATTGTATACATACTCATGGGGGAAATGGAGAGGGAAAAAAAGATTTCTGTTCTTGAGTGAGGGTAAGTGTACTGTATTCATTTTTCCCTTTCCTTTGATTTGTCTGATTTTGAGTTTTCTACTTTTTTTTATTACGTTATTTGGGCTATAACTATGTGACTGGTTTTTTTTTCTATTGAACTGTTAATATAATTGGTTAGCTGTATGTAGCTGTTATTTATGGTAACGAAATTATTATAGATAAAAATCTACCTCTACTAATTCTTAAAAGTTAAAACAGTAGTACTCCAGAAGTTCTCATCTTAAGAAGGATTAATGGTGATTTGTGTGCTAGGTGAGCAAATTAAAATTTGTGTGTTCTATGTTAATTTTGTTAAATGAAAAACATACTTTTCTGTGTTTTGAAATTTCACAGTGTATGCAAATAAGTTCTTGAAAATTGCAGTGAAATTTTTTTTTAATCAGGAAAAAGGTGCTCAAATAACAGTACCACTAGAACCTCATTAATTCACACTGACTAGAGTGATCCGTTATGAATTATTGAACTTTGCAAAATAATAAGTGAGAAAACAATTAAAGCCAGTATTCTGCATCTAAAACATATTTATTAATTTATTTGACTATTTCAGTTCATTTGTCCTGTGCCAGACCAGATCTGGGGTAGTGTAGCTTTCCTCCCAGCAGGTGGCAAAAGCAGAACACAGTTGGTACATTTAAGGTTTATTGGATACCAGATTTCAGTTGTTCCTGTTTTCAGTAGGTGCTGCTCTGAGGCTTAGGTCTTTTTGCGGCTAGATTTTAGAAAATCAGTCTCATGTTCAGTCTTACTGCTCTATTTTCTCCAGATAAGGAAGATCATAGCATCTATTTAGTTTATGCTATAGTCCCAATGTCCTCTGGGCTTTCAAGTATTCACCTGGATCTGAAGTGGGCTGAACAGATTCCTGGATTTGCTGTTCTGATTTAAAGATTAGTGTTTCAGGCTACTCATCCTGGGTAGTTCTCTGTTCAGTGGCTTTCTGTGATGCTTACCTGCACATACTGACTTTTACAGTCCACATTCAGGGAAGTTACTTACCCTATGAGACCACTATCTTTTGGGCTAGCCACCACCGAGCATTAGAAAGGGTACGTTATCCCCATCTAGCCTAGTTTTGGTGAAACAAATCTAATTAGCAGGTAAGAAATTTCCCTAAATTATGATGCTTCATAATGCACTAGTAAAAGTTCTGTAGTACATTTTGTAAAAGTAATGAAGCGTTGGTAATTTGAGACCTTACTACAGAACTTTTCTATTAAATCATTGCTGAGAAGTAAGAAGAAACATACAATTTTTGTATCAATTACAAGGTGATGAATTAGCAAAGTTCTACTGTAATTATAATGCACAAATGGATCTTAGAATTCATAAACAGGAGAAAGGAAACGTATCAAAATATATTTATTTTTTGTTTTTCCAAGGTCATGGTGACAGCAATAGCCGTAACATTCCCACTTTAGTCAAAGACATTAGCAATGTAGGAGAAGTTTCCTGTGGCAGTTCACACACAATAGCGCTATCCAAAGATGGAAGAACAGTATGGTCATTTGGAGGAGGAGATAATGGTATGTAAAAACTAACATTTTAATAGTTAACATGGGTCATTTGTGATTTGAAATATGGTGAAGTATTTCTACATTTTTGAAAAATCTGTTGCACATAAAATGGACTGAGTTGTTATCCACGGAGGAGCTAAAACTGAAGATTGGTGAGGTAAAAGGTTGTTTGTAGATGCAAATATCTTGTGAAATTGTATAAAGGTACAGAAAGCAAGATTGTAATTAAGCAGAAGGACTTGTTCAGGGGTGTAAGAGGAGACTTTAATTCATGTGATAAGATGAGGCAAGTCCATGAAGGATTTTTAAAAACAAAAATAACATTTGTATGTATTGATTTTTACCTTAAATCTCAATTATAATGCACTGTCTTTTAGTGTGAAGGACTTGTAAACCTACAAGGTCCGCATGATTTTGCCTGACCTTACTGAAGTAGCATTGAACAGTGATTATAGCACAGGACTGGGTCTCAGAAGTCATAGTCCTGGTTGCTGTGTGATCTTGCATAGAGAAATTAAGTAACATGCCCATCAGTTTCCAAATATGTAATATACTTATAATGAGATTCACCCATTTTTTCTGAAACACATTGGAATTAAGCTACATATGTTTTTTCTATTATTATTTATTATTATTATTTTATAGCTGTACATGTCAATACACCTGTGTATGAGAGATCAGAATCTAGTCTGTGATTTGTAGGTGGAATAACTTCTTGTCAGAAGATATAGGGAAACTAAGATGTATTTCACAGTCTTCATTATGGGCTTCAAATCTAATACATTTTAGTGTAACATTCTTCAGTACAAGTATCTTTTATGCATTTACATCCTATGGAAGTGATCACTATTAGCTCAATTACCATTTCATATTATTCCAGCCAGAATACAGTCTGTGTACTTTGACTTCTTTATTTTATTTGGTAGTTCTTAAGACAAAAATGATATAGTGAAGTCAACCCACAAATATAAGAATAAGTTTTAATATTAGAACATAGACTTTGTATGAAAATAGACTAAAAGTTTATCATGTCTGCAGATATTGGAATTAAATATTTAAAGGTAGTGTAAAGTTTTTTCAAGTTTGTTCACTTTTTCAACTTATGAGACTCCTGAGCCATGAAGTTCTACTTCTGTTTTATTTGTTTTTGTCAAAACTTTTAATGATTTTTTTATATGTATTTGGAATAGTTACTGTCACTACCACATCTCGCAGGAAAAGCCAGAATAAGAGAGACTTAGACCCTGCCATCTCCTGACTTTACAGCTGTTTCAGTGCCAGAAGTGCAAATAGGACTCCTCTTTCTATCGTGCTTTTTTTTTTTTACTCCCTGTCTTGGTTAGAGCAGCTGGATTTGATAAGATTAAAGCTGTTACTTTGCCACCTCCTAGCGCAGTGTATGTGTGTGGAAGGTGAAAAAGCTCAGAGCAGTAGCTCATATTGCAGTCAGTGATTAATAGAGCTAGTTGGGAACTAGAACTTTCATTCCATCTGACCTCAGGGCGGGGTAAGGGGAGGGGGAATTGTTCCAAATTGGAATGAAAATCCAAAATTCCCTGTGAAATTAAAATTCAGGAAATTCTCGATGCAAGACCATTGAAATGTTTCATTTTGACTTTAATATTATATTAAAATATTAAATGATACATAATATACACATTGACTATAATATATACATATATTAAAATCAATATTTTAATACAAGTCAAAACAAAATGAATGAAAATGTTTTGATGATGTTGAAATGAAAGGTTTTGTCTTTTTCCTATAGAAAACTTAGTCAAAATGAACATGTTCCACAAAACATTTTGATTTTTGTGAAACTGCATATTTTGATGGAAAACTGTTCTTTCAAAAAAATTTCAGCCACCTCTATTAACACATATCCATTTCTATTGCTATGATTGGTTGGTGCTGGTTAGAGAGGGTATGTCTACATTACGGGATTACTCCGAATTTACTGAATTCGATTTTGGGCAACCGATTGTATAAAGTCGAGTGCATGCGGCCACACTAAGCACATTAATTCAGCGGTGTGCGTCCATGTACCGAGGCTAGCATTGACTTCCGGAGCATTGCACTGTGGGTAGCTATCCCATAGCTATCCCATAGTTCCAGCAGTCTCCCCCGCCCATTGGAATTCTGGGTTGAGATCCCAATGCCTGATGGGGCAAAAAACATTGTCACTGGTGGTTCTGGGTACAGCCTCACCCCTCCCTCTGTGAAAGCAATGGCAGACAACCGTTTCATGCCTTTTTTCCTGGGTGAACTGTGCAGACGCCATTCTATAGCATGGAACCTGCTCAGCTCAAGACAGCAGTAATGAACACTGTAAACACCTCGAGCATTATCGTGCAGTTTATGCTGAACCAGAACTGGAAAACCAGGCAAGGAGGAACCTGCGACTGCAGCACGGCGACGAGAGTGATGAGGACATGGACATGGACTCAGAATTCTCTCAAACCACGGGCCCAGGCGCTTTGGAGATCATGCTGTTAATGGGGCAGGTTCTAGCCGTGGAACACCGATTTTGGGCCCAGGAAACAAGCACAGACTGGTGAGACCGCATAGTGTTGCAGGTGTGGGATGATTCCCAGTGGCTGCGAAACTTTTGCATGTGTAAGGGCACTTTGTGACTTGCTTTCCCCTGCCCTGAAGTGCAAGAATACCAAG